AGTCGAGAATGGCGCAAACTTCTCATAAGAATCTCCAGAAGTAAGAACTGCGATTACAGGGCAGTTTGAACTCGTGTCTTCTGCCAATAAGGCTGTCACTCGAGGCTGAAAATCCGGATCGTCATAGCGTGTGGCACGAGGATGCTGGTCATAAAATTGCTTGATAAGGTGCTTGTTCAGAATATTGGAGGCAGGTTCCCAACTGTTTTGACCATGAGGAAATCCCAACCATTTAATAAGAAACTGATGTTCACCGTCTTTTATTCGTTGCTTAAGCAGCTTCTCAACCTGATAAATATCACCGTCAGAATCTGGGGTTTTATCCGTGTCATTACTTGGACGGCGTACAGACTTTGTTACTACAGTCGTCATTCCAGTGGTTGCATTGGCAGGGGCCTGGGGTGTATGCGCGACGGAACCTGTGGGCGCTGTTGGGAGATTTTCTAGCTGCGGTACGCCGTTGGTAGCTCCTGGTATGTGTGCGCGGTCAGGGTCCTGGGACTCAGGGATAACCTCCTGGTGTTCTACCAAAAAACTGTCTGCTGGAAAATCTTCTTCAGTCAAATATGGCTCGTCAACCAGCTCTGGGGGGTGGCGTACCGGCCGTGTGTCTGGAGACACGTAAGGCTTGAGGCGAGTTACATGGACTGTGGTGGAAATACGGCGATTATCTGAGGCATGGAGGATGCAATGAACAGGAGACAGAAATTTGACTATCCTGTACGGTCCATGATAATTATGTGCCAATTTCTTAGAGAGGCCTTTACGGTTGCGAGGGGTATAAACCCAAACCTGTTCACCTACTTGGTACTTCGCAGGAACAGCATGGAGGTCATGGTAATCCTTCATTCGCTGTTGAGCTCGCTGAATATTCTCCTTGGCTATGCGGTGGGCAATTTCTATATTCTCCACAACACGGGCGCGGTGTTCAGCAATCGAGGCAGAAATTTCTCGCGGAGGCAAGAAGGAAACATCCATTGGTAGGCGTGGTTCTCTACCATATAACATATAGAACGGAGACTCTCCGGTAACTTCTGATGGGGAGACACGATAACCAAAGAGGACGGGGTTCAAGTACCGGTCCCAGTCCTTCTGGTCACTGCTGACATAGTGGGACAGACTCTGCGCTAGAGTACCATTGAAACGTTCCACTAATCCGTCACATTGAGGATGATAGCTGGACGTAAACTCCTTCTTAGTGCCCATCAGAAAACAAACTTCACGCACCAGGCTAGAGAGGAAATTGGAGCCTCTATCAGATAGCAGCGTACGGGGTGCACCATGGCGTGGCATAATCTGGTTGACCAGAAGATCAGCAATCGTGGGTGCATCGATGGAAGGCACGGCAAAGGCTTCTGGGTAGCGTGTTAAGTAGTCGGAGAAAACCACAATGTACCTGTTATTGGAAGTCGTGACAGGAAATGGGCCCAAACAATCGACAGCTACGCGGTCAAATGGTCCCTCTACAGGAATAGGTAGGATGGGTGCGGTTTTGCGCTGCTTTGGGCTTTTCTTCATTTGGCAGTGCGTACACGACAGACACCAATGCTGTACATCGGCAAACATCTTGGGCCAATAATACTTGTCACGTAGTTTGTCATAAGTTTTGTTCACTCCCAAATGTCCTGCTAAGGGATCGTCGTGGCCTCCAACTAAAATCTCGTGTCGTAATGGGGTTGGTACCACCAACTGGGACCTTGGTGTTTGGATACGGCGGCTTTTGGGAATCCAAAGGTGACACAACAGTCCACTAGGGTCCAAATAGTAGTCGTCAATGGAATGCATAATTGCTTTGGCTGTAGCGCCATTGGAAGGCAGCTCTTCTGTCTCAAGGTAGGTGATGATGTCAGCTAGGGATGGATCCTTACGTTGTAGTTCCCAAATTCTCTCTACCTGCACACCTGGTTTGTCGTAGGCCGCAACCACAGGATCATACGTACGTCGGGAGAGGGCATCAGCATTTCCATTACAATTACCGGCGCGGTGCTCAATGGTGAAGTCGTGTTGCTGGAGAAGTAATGCCCATCGAGCTAATCGACCAGTTGGCTCCTTGATATTCATCAACCAACGAACTGCATTATGGTCTGTAAATACCGTGAATTGGCGGCCATACAGGTAGGTCTGGAAGTGTCGTACACCGTCAACCACTGCCAGTGCTTCACGTTCTGTTACACTGTAGTTGCGTTCTGCAGGATTCAGTTTTCTTCCAGCATAAGAGATAACAACCTCGCGTCCATTCTGTTTCTGTCCTAGAACCATACCGATAGCGTCATTGCTTGCGTCGGTGGCCAATATAAAGGGGAGATTGAAGTCTGGGTAGGCAAGGATAGGTGCTTCCGTCAGTGCTTTCTTGAGAGTGTCAAAAGCGTCTTGACAAGCATCGGTCCAGACGAATTTCATTCCCTTCTTGGTCAGCTCGTGCAGGGGACTGGCAATCTGGGCACATCCTTTAATGAACTTACGATAGTAGTTGGTGAGACCCATGAAAGCTCGGACATCTTTGACAGTTTTAGGAACAGGGTATTCCTGAACTACTTTGACCTTGGCAGGGTCAGGCTGTAATCCCTCGGGCGTGATCACGTGACCCAGATAATTGACCTTAGTCTGTCCAAAATGGCACTTACTTGGCTTAAGTTTTAAACCGGCTTCACGAAAGCGATCAAAGACCAGGCGAAGATGCTGCAAATGTTCCTCGAAGGTTCGGGAGTATATCAGGACGTCATCAAGGTAGATCAACGCAATTTGCCAAGTCAGGCCTCTAAGGACGCATTCCATCAAGCGCTGGAACGTACCTGGGGCGTTACAGAGACCGAAAGGCATTGTGGTAAACTCATACAAGCCAGCATGAGTGACGAAAGCGGTCTTCTCACGAGAGGCGGGGTCCATTTCCACCTGCCAGTATCCAGATAGCAAATCAACACTGCTGAAAAACTTCGCTCCTCCCAACGCTTCTAGGCTCTCGGATATCAAAGGCAGGGGGTAAGAATCTTTCTTTGTAATCTTGTTCAGATTTCTGAAGTCACAGCAAAATCGTGAAGAGCCATCGGGCTTCGGAACCAAGACCACTGGACTGGCCCAGGGCGAAGCTGAAGGCTGTATGACGTCACGGCTCAGCATATCATTAATGTGGCTCTCTATAGTTTCCTTCTGTGTATGCGGAACGCGGTAAGGACGCGAACGTAACGGTCGATGGTCTCCGGTATCAATATGGTGCTGTACTAGGTTGGTGCGACCAAGTTCCTCCGGTGTGACGGCGAAAATATCTCTGTATTCGTTCAGCAGGGCCTTTAAGCGCTCTTGTTGTTCTTGGGTCAAT